AAACACAGTGCTCATTTCTGGCAGGTTTTTACTGTCAGAGTTTCTCCTATTATATTTATCTTACAATTTGCCAGGGGGTGAAGTTATTAAGTTTTAGCAGCAGCCATCGATCAAGTTCACAAGTTAACACGATAAAGGCTCTGTGCCGCTCCGATCCGGGAAAATGATGATCCTCACTCGGTAATTAACTAAATGAGAAAGTTAAATCTTACTTGAGAGCTGGGAGAGATGAAAGAGAGGTGTTTGTCAGTTTCTCAGTGGAAATTAGAAGCAGTTTTCTGCAATTCCCTAAGCTGCTGCTCTGTCATATTTTACATAAGCACTGGGAAAACGTCTTGTAATTAGTGCTGTCATGGAGGATTTTTTTTGCTGAAGGATGTTGGAATAATTCATTAGATTATCAAGAAAGGCTTGTGTCCTGAAATGATTAGCACAGTGAAATTTAAACCATTAACGATAACAAGTTTAGAGCTTGCTGCAGTGCAGAGGCACCCGGGGTATGTCTGTGCCTATTTCAATCATTTCTTATAATTAAACATTATGTCCTCTTTTTTCCTCCCCTTCACTAAGACCCATCCAAAATTCCTGTTAAGGTGGCTCTGTCTAGATCAGTGACTTAACCGTGACTGGCGGTGCAAGCAGTTGGAGATGAAATGCTGTGGTTGCAGATAAGCAGTAGAAGACATCTGTTCTGTGTCAGAGCCTGTAGTTCAGGGAGTCTGGGGAGGAGGAGGGAAGCCCAGTATGACCTGTTGGTACTGGAATGTTGAAGAAAAGTCCCTTCCTTTTGTCTGGAGAGAAACTCTGAGAAATTTGCAGTGGTGGTCTAAGCTCTCAGTCTTCCCAGAGCTCCAATGTAAAGATGTCTTGCAGGTTCAGAAGGTCTCAAACTTTGCTGGGATCATCGAAGCCATTCTCAGTATTCTTGGAGACAGTTTATCTTTTTTCTTCGACTTTTAAGAGATGTCTTCTTACCTCAAGAAACATATAATCTGAATTCATCCATCTTGTGGAAAGTGCCCTAACAAAGTCTCTGCAGTGAGTAGAAGGACCTGGTGTTTTCTTAAAAAAAATAAATGTAAAAGTGGTGACCACTCATATGGGTGGGGAAACACTATACCGATACTAGAATCAAAGAACTGTTCTTGTGTTTGTTTTTTCTCTGCTTTAGGAGGCTCCTTGGTCCCTTGTACTGGGTTGTCATGTGGGGGTTACAGCTCTGATATACCATGGATGTTTTGTTTTATATGCAGAGCAGTAGATCTATCCAGGCTTTATTTATCTGTGTTGAAATATTGCACCTTCCTATAGTTGCAAGCCATTACTTAGATTAAAGTCCTTTCACATATTAGTCCTCTTCTACTTCACTGGGCATACAAATGTGCTTTGCGTTAAGTGTAGCCATTTGGAGAAATGGTCTTGTAGTTATGGGCTGCAATGGAGCATAGTACGTGGATCCCTGAGCTAGTACCAACCTGAGGCACTCAATCCCCTGGGTTTCCTGGCTCAGCTTACTAGCTCAGACACACTGTTGTAGGACACCTCTACTGTTCCTGCAGATGGGTTGTTGTGTGTATAGCCAGCCCCTGGGGCACCTCCCAGCCCTCACAGGGGTTTGTGAAAAGGGAGTCAGAAAAGCTTTATCTGTTCCAAGTTAGTAGTTTGCTCTGTTGTGCTCAAAATTCATCCCAAGTAATGGACTACCAGTGCTGATTCATTTTTTGCCACTGTTGGAAGTAAAGCTTATAAAAAGCATGACTGAATACAGTGCATTTGGGTGGATATTTACCCTGGCAGTATGAATGGCGTGTGGGACAGTTCTTTCTTTTTCAGGTGAGGCCTGGTTATTGTACCAGGAGAGGGTAAATGGTTGTTTGCTCCAGGAAATAGTTGCTGATATTGTTCTGAGGTGGTTTGTTATGAACTTCAGGTAGTTGATCACAATGCTTGAGTCATTAGGGTTTCTCAGGAAGCCAAATCAATTCTCTTACTGATAGTAACCACACACCCCTCCACCCACCCCCAACACTTTAATAATACAGATACTTGATGTTGCTGTGTTGTTGTTGGCTTTTTTTTAATAACAGGCCGTTTTCACTAAACCACCAGTGGATTTTTAGGAATCTTCAAATTGAAATTTTGGAATTTTGTGCTAAACTGTAGCTACAGATGGTCTGGGGAAGGCATGTGAGCATGTATTGTGATTGATTGATTTGGGAGCCCTGTGAATTCATTTGTCTCTACTCTGCAGAACTGGTGTGTTTGTGGCTTGCCCTGTCCTCCTGGTCCCCTGCTGGCATACCACAGGACCTACTGGGCACACTGACGCTGCTTCTGGGTTTGTCCTTGCTCCTTTTGATGGGAAACCAGAGCAGGCAATGGTGCAAACCAGGTCTCAAGCTGACGTTGTCAGAGTGCAGCCAAAGAATGTGCATGAACCTAAAAAATACGGTGTTCCCCTGTCCACTGATTTGGACGTAAAGCCTGTACCGTGTGTAGTAGTGCTTTACTTAGCAGATCCGCTATATAAACCTGGAGTTTGACTTCCAGAGCTGTTAAAAGCGTTGGCCAATGGACTCTTAATTTACTCATTATTCCCACCCAAGAGGCCTGTATTCACTTGGGATCCAGGCAAAATGGGTTGCTTTGTCCCATCTAAGCCATCTGTTTGTACACACGTAAGCTATTACTTGTTTTTGCAGATGTTGCAACTTCTGTTTGATACCCCAAAACTACTGTTTTAGAGGTAATTGGGGAGCTGAAGGCTGCTAGGAAAAGTGTGCTCAGGAGGCAAGGAAAGGCCAGAACGTGGTGCCACCCTGTGAAAGGAGTTGCCTCTTTTGTGGTCTTTGCACATCAGCTGTCTACTCCACTCCAGCTCAGCATATTAGTCAGACTTCACAGTCTCTCAAATTAAAAGGCAGAGGTATAGGGTTTTAAAAAATGCTTTGTAGAGACAGCCTGTTTTGAGATGCACAGCAGACAAAAGGAGAAATGAAATGAGATCAAGCTTGTAGAATACAACATCTCTACGCTCTTAATCCAGCATTTTTACAGGCATGTCTGTTTTGCAGGCAGCTTAACTGCAGCAAAAATGACCAAAATCCCTCTAAGACCAATGTTCAGTGCAGTCCATTGGTAATCATTTATTGCCAGGCTGTTGCCTACTGTGGACTTTGCTAAGAAAAGTCCAGCCTTTCACACCTAGGACTTCATGCCCACAGCTCCTTTAGAGACTTCTCTGTACAAAAAGTTAGCCCAAGAGAGAGTGTTTCCTGCTGCTCAGTACTGGCTCTATGACTCGTTTGCAGTCAGTGCTGTCCATGTGATGACTAAATGAAAGCATAGCTCAGTCATAGCCCTTGTCTCGCATGATCTTTCTGAACATACACAGAAATTTTCAGGGAGGAGTGGGGGTGAAAGTAACGTTGAAAACACTGAGCTGCAGAACTGAGCACTCATGAGGTGATCTCCGTGTCCTGTGTTCTCAGAGAAACTTAAGTCAAACCATAATTCAGAAATAGAAGAAACTGCTTGTTAAAAATGACAGCTAATTACTGTCTTTTTCTACCAGAGGAGAGTCTGTCCAGCTCTGCTGGAAATGCTGAAAAGAGTATTTAGGTGGATTTTCTCTAGAAAATGAAATGTACATGGTGAATACTTGAGAAGATTTTCAAATTATGAGGTTTTTGGTGTTCCAAAGTCAGGATTGCTGTCGGGGTTGGGGGATACTGAAGTACAGGAATTATTCACTCCCGAGAAATCAGAAATTCCTGCATTCCAAGCTCACTTTTGGCAACTAGATTTCGTGGTCTCTAAATAACCCACTGTTTTGGCACTTGCTGAAAAAAGTCTTTGTTGTTTTTTCTTTTCCTGTAAAATCAGTTAATCCATGCATTTCTTTTAGATCACTAGGTATCTTTGCAGGGAGATTTAGGTACTTGTTTTTTCCCTTAAAGTTAATAAAGTCTCCTGGTGAGGTTGATGCCTGGAATTATTGTCATAGAACAGAAATATGGCATCCCTATATCAATGTTTTATATATTCTGATGTCTGTAATTTGTTTTTAATTATTTGATAATTAATAGAGAACGTCTAAATGTATTTTGTGAATAAAAATTATATAATAATATTGACTGTTATTGTAAAGGTCATTGTCTGGTGTTAAACCGCTGCAATGAGAGAGAGAAAATCACGTGTTTTCAGCATTTAATACAAACTATTTGACCAGTATGGGAAAAAATAATTCCCCAGCAAACAGGTACTCTTACTTGGGCAAAGGATATCCTTGCAATGCAAAATGTGCAGTTTTCTTCCAGTTAAATCATTTAGAAAGCAGAAATTATATCTTGCTATCAAGTAGTAAATTGAAATGTCAGTGTTTTGTTTTGTCCCTGAAACTCTTCTTTGAGCTGAGTCCTTCTGACAAGATATTAACAGTGCTCAGAAAGTTGAAAACCTTTTATTCTGTGAAAGAAGTATGTACCAAATATCAGGGTGAGTTTTAGCTGGCTTTGCTCTCAAGGTATCATTTTATACTCAAAAGAAGTGGTACCATTTTCTTCCTAATCTATTTCGTGTGTTCCCTATGAATTTTAGCAGCAGTCCATTCGTTTAAAAAAAAAAACACAATACAAATGCAGTTTCCTGCTGGTGCATTGAAGTAACTGGTAACTGTAGATTAGGAATCCAAATGCATTTTAGTGTCTGTGTGATGTGAATAAAATTGTGTTTATGTTAAAATGACACTAAAGGTTTGCCATCTAACCAGAGTCTTTTGTGTGCAGCTCTGGCATGAGCCAATGCATTGTCCTGCAGGGGTTACAGCTCGCGGTGGCCATGCTCCAGCTGATGGCACCAAATGGGATACATGGTTTTAGCCAACTTTATGTATCAGAGTGTTTTTTTCCTTCTTTTTTCTTCCCCCTAAAAAAATTACAAAACCACTTGAGCTTCTTTTCATATTCGTGATTTGGATTGTCTCTCCTTCCTGTTTCCAGACAAAACTTGCCAATGGCACTTCCAGTATGATTGTGCCCAAGCAAAGAAAACTGTCTGCAAGCTATGAGAAGGAGAAGGAACTCTGCGTCAAGTATTTTGAACAGTGGTCCGAGTCTGACCAGGTGGAGTTTGTGGAGCACCTCATCTCCCAGATGTGTCACTACCAGCACGGACATATAAACTCATACCTCAAACCCATGTTACAGCGGGACTTCATCACTGCACTGCCAGGTATTTCTGCAGGCAGAAGGAGCTTGCTCCTCCATCTTCTCTTTCAGAAAACTATTCCACTCTGGCCTACGCTGCTGGAGAGGTCTCTTCTAGGGTCAATTTGTGAAATAGGTGGTAGCTTTTGAATGGAAATCTGTACACCATTATGAAATGTAGTAATATTTTATTTTGTATT